TATCGCCCTGTCCACTCCTTATCCAAACCCGGAACGCAGCTCTCTATAAATATACGCGCAGTCCCTGAATAAAGTGCAACTTCTCTGGTGAACTGTCAGCCTGGATCTTGCGTGCTTCCTTCATCCGTGCGTCCTTTCAGTGGTGATGGTGGCACAATACTGTGAATATACTTGGTTCCACTAAAGCATACATTTAAAAACAGTTAAAACGATAAATTCTTTGTTATGTATATTTTACCCCAATAAGAAAAGGGGGCAGAAATTGTCAAACTATAAAAAAGCAAGTATATTGCCTAAAAAAAAATCCACTTTAAATATAAAGATGCAAACATGCTAAAAGAATGACACTAGTCAAAAGAACTGGCTATATTAATATCAAATAAAGTAGATTTCAGAGCAAAGAATATTACCAATGATAAACAAGGTCATTTCATAACAACAAAGAAGTATATTCGTCAAAAAGACAGAACAATCATGTCTCTAAGTGTCTATGAACTTCAAAATGAGAGGAGCAAAATCAATAAAATTGAACAGAGAAACAGAAATTTCCAAAAATTATACTTGAGATTTTCACACCCACATCTATAATTACTAGAAAAAGGAGATAGAAAAATCAGTAAGCATTGTTCAAATCTTCTATGTCCTTTCAATCCACATGATAACATTTATGGAACACCACACCCAACATTAGCAGAACATATATATCCCTTTTAGGTCTACATGAAACATTTACGGAGACCATATTCTGGGCCATAAAAGAGTCTGACAAACTTTAAAAGGATTCAAATTATGCAAAGTATGTTCTCTGACAAGGGAATTAAATTAGAAATCAATAACAGAAAAAATATCTGGAAAATCCCCCATATATTGAAAATTAAGTAGCCCTCTTCTAAATAACCAATAGGCAAAGGGACTATTAGAATATATTTTTATCTAAATAAAAACGAAAGTACAACATGTCAATATTTATGGCACATAGCTCAAACAATATCTAGAAGGTAATTTTCTGCACTCAACATCTATCAGAGAAAATGTTTCAAAACAATGACCTCAGTTCCTATCTTAACAAGGAAAAGAAAAGCAAGCTAAATCCAAAGTGAGCATAACAAAGAATAATAAAAATAAGGACAAAATCAAAGAAATAGAAAACAGGAAAACAATAGAGAATATCAATGAAACCAAAAGCTAGTTGAGAACAGTCTAGTCAGACTGATAAAAGAACAAAAGAGAGAAGACAAAAAGTTCCAGTGTCAGAAATGAGAGGTGACATCACCACAAATTCTAATATTAAAAGGATAATAGGGAAATACTATGAACAACTTTATGTCAACAAATTTGACAGCTTAGATGAAATGGACAAAATGCATGAAATATACAAACTACAAAAGCTCATCCAAAAAGAAATAGATAACCTGAATAGTTCTATATCTATTAAAGAAATTGAATTTGTAGCTAAAGAACTTCCCACAAAAGCCCAGGTCCCAAATGGCTTCAATGGTGAATTCTTTATTTTTATTTTTTTCAGGATCTGTTTTTAGAATTTACTCATGAATTCTATTAAATATTTAAGGAAGAAATTAAGCCAATTCCATACAAACTATTCCCGAAAATTGAAGAGGGTATACATTGCAACCAAATCTGAGGCCAACATTATTCTGATATCAAAACTAGACAAAGATGTTACAAGAATGCTACAGACAAATATCTTTCCTAAATATAAATGTAAAAATTCTCAACAAAACGTGAGCAAACTGAATCCAACATTATATAAAATGACCAAGTGGGGTTTATCTAAGGAATGCAAGGTGGGTATAACATATAAAAATCAATGTAATTCACTACATTAAAAGACTAAAAACAGAAACCATAGAATATACTAAAACTATAAAACTTCTCTAAGAAAGCATAGGAGAAGAGCTTAGTGACCTTGGCTTTGGTAAAGATTTCTTAAGTACAAGACAAAAAGCAAGAACATAAATAAATAAATAAATCAGACTTCATTAAAACCTAAAAATGTTTGTTCTTCAAGACACTGTTAAAAAGTAAATAGATAAGCCACAGATTAAGAGAATATTTTTGCAAAAGATATTTTAAACTAGGGACTTCCATCTAGAATATGTAACAAACTCTCCAATTCATTAATAGGACAAACAACCCAGTTTAAAAACTGGCAAAATATCTGAACAGAAACCTCTCCCAAGAAAACCTATGGAAGGCAAGCACCTGAAAGATGCTCAACATCATCTGTCATTAGGGAAATACAAGTTAAAACCACAATAAGACAACACTACACTACAATATCTAAAGCCAAAAAGACTAATCATACTAAGTGTTGGTGAGTAAATGGAGCACCTAGAACTCTCCTATGCTGCTGGTGTCAAAGTAAAATGGTATAACCAATTAAAAACAGTGGGTTAGTAGAGAGGAATTACACAGAGGCAGAAGGAATGTTTTAGAAATGATGTTCATTGTCTTGAGGGTGGTGATGATTTGTTTCATGGATGAGTACATTGTATGAAATTGTATAGTTTAAATATGTGCGTTTATTTTATGTCAATTATACCTCAATAAAGTTGCAAAAGGGGTAGGGGATGAGACAGGGAAAGACAGCTAGAGAATGAGATAGAAAAGAAAAAGAATCAGTCTAAGAGGATCAGTACCCAGTTTGCAGAGGGAAGAGAAAGAGGTCAAGAAATAATCAAACGCTTTTCCTAAGCCTTAAGAACACAAGACTCCAGACTCAAAGAGTCAGCCAAGTACTGATCAAAATGAATTTAAATTTAAAATAAAATCTATGCCTAGGTACATAATCATGAAAGTTTACACTATCAAGGATAAAGATCTTTTAAAACTCAAAATTGGTCAATAAAAGAATAAAACAGAAGAGCATAAAAATTAAGAGCATGGCCTTCCTGGTTTCCACACTGGCTCCGACATTAGCTAAGTAACCTTGGGTATGTTACTCAACCCTTCCGTGTTTCAGTTTTCTCATCTGTGATAATGATGATGATGATGATAATAATAATAATAACAACAACAATAAACAGTAGTAGTCAATGATAATGATGATGGTGATGATGATAATAATAACAACAACAATAAACAGTAGTAGTCATGAGATTGTTATGAGGATCTAACAAATGTGATAATGATGATGATGATGATAATAATAATAATAACAACAACAATAAACAGTAGTAGTCATGAGATTGTTATGAGGATCTAACAAATTATCTGTAGCAATCAGGACAGTGCCTGGTACATGATACACTATGTAAGTGTTGGTTAAATAAATCACAGTAACACTGAATTTGTCATCAACAATACTAGATGACAGAACACAAAAGAACAATGCTTTCAAAGTTTTTAGGAAAACTAATTTTCAAACTTGAATTCTATGCCTAGCTAATGGTCATTCATTTGAATAAAAGTAGAATGGAGATATTTGGGGGCCTATGATAATTCAGAAAACTCACACAACCTGAATCTGCACAGTAACAACAATCAACAGTACTATTTCGTTTTTCCGTTTTCAAAACAAACCTGTATAGCCAAAGCCCTATACAAAAAACTGTATAGGCAATTTAATTTTGGATGTCAACAACGCAAAAGTACAGCTGACAAACTTGAGGTGAAGGGTAAGGGGAGTAGGAGTAGGAAAGCGAACACCAAACTTAGAAAGTAGTAAGTCAAGGGATACTTTATACAAGTGATGTAATAATAAAGGCTTATCACTTAAAGTTACAAAATTTACCAATATTAGAAATAAAAATAGCGATTTACTATATTAGAATGGGAGTGCTGGATAAGTGACTAAATCCTCTCCTACCATAGCTAGAATCCAACAGATTGACCTAAAACTGATAAATCAAGTATAAGCATATTTAGAAATAGAACCAAAATAGTTAAAAGTGGTTGACTCTGGAGAGGAGAAATGGGATGGGAAGGGGTAGAGCAAGGAATTGTTGCTTTATATTTGTTTAAAACACGTACAAATAAAGTTTATAAAGTTTGATAAAAGTTTACCAACAAAGAAAATAGCATTCAGCTTAGCAGTTTCTCTTTAAGAAAAACACAAGCACTGGGAATGTCACCAAAACAAGACTTTTGGTTTCTCCTTCGATAGAAGCTAAGAAACTAAAAATCAAGATCTTACCAATCTAAGCAAAAGAAGTTCACAGTGACAGGCGGGTGCTCTCTTCAAAACCAAGGAGTGAGGATGGCATATGCCTCTGAACCTCCCCAATGCAGATATTCTAATTAAGAACACAAAAATCGAACCCGGACAGTATCACAGAAACGATAAAAGCACAACTCAGGAATGGCCGAAAGTCTACCTACTTATTAAACAACTAACAATAAGTGTATAGTTTGAGTGCATCCAGAAATCTTGAAAATTTTAACGAGCATGCTGTCCAGCAGTTGGGGCACGTGGGGAAGATGGCACTTAAGACTTCTACCTTGTCCTAGGTCTTTCTAACATGCTGCTTTCAGAGTAAGGTCTAAGAGGAGCAACAGATGGCCTCGCACACTGGAAAAAAACCTTTAAGGCACGAACAGTAAACAACAGAAGCTCGCCACCAGGGATTACTCTACAAGGCTGTTAAAGCCTGGGATCGCGCAAACCTAACCAGTTAACTCAGCTAACCTGGCAAGTGTGGCTCAACTGCCTTTGGGCCCCTTCCGAGACCCAAAATGCGCGGTCCCGAAAGGAAACAAAGCCGTGGGCGGGGCCTTCCGGTCCCGGAAAAAGCGGGCAGAGGAGGATCGGCCCTCCCGCTAGCTCGGACCCTGCTCGTCCCCGGCCGCGTCCGCTCCCCAGGCCCCGAATCCGAGCGCCGGCTTCTGACCGCGTGTCGGGCAGCGGCTGCCAGCGGTGTGGCAAGGCGGCGCGAGCTCCTGCAAGCCTCCCCGGGGATAGGCGGTGAGCCCCGAGGTCCGCGGCCTAGAAGCGCCGGCACCCTCGGCCCCAGCGTGGGAGTCGCCTGGCTCCTCCTCACCTTCTCTTCCACGCAGTTGACAATGATGGACGGGTACTTGCGACTGAGCCAGCGGAAGAACGCCGGGACTCCCATAGCGGCACCACAGCTGGAGGCGGCGGCCCGGCCGGCTGAGGAGCGTAACCACAGAGACAGGGAGGAGCGGCGGCCACGGCCACGGGGTACTTCCTCCCACGTGCGCACCGGCGACCGGAAGTGATGTCACAGCGGCGCCGCCGGGGATGCTGGGAAGGAGGCTGCGCTAGGCTAAGACCTCAGCGCCAAGCAGGTGATTGCCTGGCCTGACCCGCCTGGTTGTGGAAACCGGGGCCCTACCTGGACGGGGTGGTGAAGGTTGCAGCTGGTCTCGCTCGGTGCGCTCATTTTCAGTGGTCGCAGCCCCGAAGTCCGTCTCAGTCGCGGGGGCTCCCGGGCGACGCCTTCGGTGCGACTCCTCTGGGATGTCACTTCCCCAGTCTTCGGGCTCCCCCGGGACGGAACTTGCTCAGCAGCCCTCGGGGGAGCTCTTCCTTGCCCGTTTGGTCACCTCCTCTTCGAAAGAGCGTGTCTTATTTTACTTCCTTTCTCATCCACCTCAGTCTGGAGTAGAATCAGAGCATCTAAGCTGGTTATTTCCATTTCCTGGTTTCTCCAGGTTTTGTGCCACGGTATGACGACGAAAAAGATCATTTTAAAGAATTTTACAATAATGACTGGTTTGCATAAATTAGTTACATTTTAAGTAATTACAGAATAGAATCTGTCTGGCATTTAGCATACAATGCAACCGTCTAGCTACACTTACAAGTATAAAATAATTGTTAATATCGCTCTCCAGCATTTATTGAGCGCTTACAATATGCTAAGGCATTGACTAACCGATTATCTCGTTTAATCACTTGAACCTTCTGAGTGTACTATTATCATCCTAGTGTAATAGATAAAAGAGCCAGGTTGTAGAGGGGTTAAGTCGCTCGCTTACTCACACAGCTTGTGTTTCAGTTCAAGTAGAGATGATTTAATCTCCTGTTCTTGCACTAACATGATACTTTTCTTTTGTTTTCTTATGGCTTCGCTGCATTTTTTTTCAGCATATGAAAGGAGAGGTGTCTGGAAGAGGAGGTTTTATGTCCATTTGCTCAAGTCTTTCTTCCTAGAATCCCCTGTTGGCTTGACAAGTCACACTCAATCCTAAAGGCTCACCTCAAGAGGCCTATGTGAAAGTATTTCTCTTATTACCCAGCAGGCAACACTCATTGCCCCTCCTCTGTGGTCTGAAGACACTGTTTAACTGCTAGTGAGGAAATTAGAGAAGTGGGTATCCCATATTTAAGGATAGCCAAAGCTATTCCAGAGTATTACATTTATGGTGAAATTCCTCATTTTACCTGGAAACTGCCCGTCCTCAAGTATTTGGTTCCCCTGGAAGGTGCTATGTTCTTATAGGAACACACACAGCATAGGCAGTTGATGCAGGGATAGGCAGCTGGCCAAGATGAGCCATTCAGAGGCTTGCCCAGAATATTTGAACTTTGAACCTTAAGGAATGTAAGACAGCCCCCAAGCGTTACCCATTGTATGGTTATCTGATGTGTTTCACACTGTGCCTTGAAGAAGCCTCAATTTTATTAGCATGTTCCACTTTAAAGATTTTTGGCAATTTAACAATCTAGTAGAGCCTCACTTTGACAGCCCACACCTAGTATTAACTTTCTAATACCAAGTCTGTCTTCATTCTCTCTCACTTATTGTTAAGCAATTATGTTTTAGCCGATGTCTAAGGCGGTGGCGGGCGGACAGGAGGAACACCAAAATGGCTGCAGAGAGTTTTGGTTCCCTAGAACAGCACGTTTTCTGAGAATCACAAAAAAAAACCCTCCCCCTTCTTCCTGACCACCACATCCCCTTCCTGCGTGTGCAAATTTCTCCACCTATAGAAAAATCTCAACTCAGCTTAAACCCCACTCACTTCCCTCCCCTTCCTTCTTAGCCAATAGGAACACTCCAGCTCAGCCTAACGATATAAAAGGCCCAGCCCAACTCTCCCTGCTGCTGCTCCCACTTCTGAGAGGGCAGCTGGCTTTTTCATTTTGGCTGCCTAGTATGCTTTGGTTGAGTCCCTGTCTCCTGTTGTGTTTTATTTTCACTCTCAGGCTGGGGCTTTTCCTTTCATTGGTGCCATGACTCAGATAGGGTTTCCCCACTCCTAGTGGGACCCCATCGTTTCTCTGCCCTTTGCCCGGAGCCCACACCAGTGATGACACTCAGCCCGGCCCTTCTCTCTCTCTCTCTCTCTCTCATTCTCTCTCTTTCTCCAGGATTCGGCCAAGGTGAGAAGAGGTTACCCTTTCCCACTCCCTCTCATTCGCTGTGGGGTTTTCGTTTCTGCCCTCCAGGCATTTGCGAGTCTGGGCGCTGGGCATCCCTCAGCTCTACAGCCCTTTGGGGTCCCTCAACCACCAGGAAACTGGTGATGACCACTTCCGGGGTTTGAGATTTCTCGGTACCCCATCCAAAGCAGAGATGCCCCTTCGGAGCTGGTACTTACTCCTCCATTCTCATGGGGGGGTGCCTTGCCTCTCCCTGCTGACTCCCCCCAAACATCAAGCCAAAACAATTCATTAAACTCTCCACTCGGGAATGGCCCAACTATAACTTAATCAAAACAAGTGGCCTCCCTTTGTGTCCCCCAATCCTGACATTCTATGGGACTTATACAACTTTTACAAGCAATCAGGAAAACAGGTCAAAATTCCTTATATCCAAGTTTTTCGTACCAGCCACAGGCAACTATTAACACCAGATGAACAAGCATTAATCCCAATTTTACCTTTTCATCTGCTTCTTTTCTTCCCTCCATTTTTACAGCCATTGTTAGGCTCTTAACCCTTTTTACTTTCGTTTTGGAACCAGACTTCCTCGCTCAAACCACACCAGCTCTGTCTGCTCCAAAACCCCCCAAATCCTCCCCCGCTTCTCCTCTGTCCAAACCCCCTGAAAAGCTGGCCAGCCCGCTGGCTCAGGGGCCAGCGACTCTTTCTCCCCCTCTCGCCCCTTTTTCCTGTACCCTCTGTATTCCAGGTTCTTAGCTCAGTTGTGGCTGCTCCACTCCTGGCACCCGAGGTCCCTTTCCCCTTTTTAGTCTTGCTTTTTGTCCATTTTAACTGTTTCATTCTTTTTTCCAGAGCTCCTGGAGCTCCCTTTATCCACTATCTGTTTCCCCCTTTTTACTCACTGCTGTTTTGCCTTCAGTCAACTGTAACTGCTCTGTGCTTGTCTTTGGAGCTCCTGGAGCTCCCTTTATCCACTATCTGTTTCCCCCTTTTTACTCACTGCTGTTTTGCCTTCAGTCAACTGTAACTGCTCTGTGCTTGTCTTTGGAGCTCCTGGAGCTCCCTTTATCCACTATCTGTTTCCCCCTTTTTACTCACTGCTGTTTTGCCTTCAGTCAACTGTAACTGCTCTGTGCTTGTCTTTGGAGCTCCTGGAGCTCCCTTTATCCACTATCTGTTTCCCCCTTTTTACTCACTGCTGTTTTGCCTTCAGTCAACTGTAACTGCTCTGTGCTTGTCTTTGGAGCTCCTGGAGCTCCCTTTATCCACTATCTGTTTCCCCCTTTTTACTCACTGCTGTTTTGCCTTCAGTCAACTGTAACTGCTCTGTGCTTGTCTTTGGAGCTCCTGGAGCTCCCTTTACCCGTTTTACATGTGCTCACTGGTTTCTCCCCCGCTCTTGTCTTTTAAGTTCCCCCACCTGGATTGAACCGAATTTTTTACTTTCTTTTTCCCTTTCTTCTTCTTTGTCTTAGCCAGGATCCATGGTTATTTCCCTTGCCTTTACCTGTTTTGAGACTTTTTTCCAGGGGCTGCCTGGCAGGAATTATGGGAACTGCCCAATCTAAATTCATTTTTAGTGGACCGGCCTCTCCTTCTTGAACCCCTGGAATTCTACTCACATTTCCGAGCTCCTGGAGCTCAACCTTAACTTCTTTTCTGTTTCTCCTCCTTCCAACGTCTACAGCCATTGTTAAGCTCCTGACCCTTTTTTACTTCCGCTTTGGAATTGGACTGGGTTTCATTTTGAATTAACTTGCTTCTCCTTTCTGAATTCAACTTTAACTTCCTCCTCCTCCTTTGAGCTCCTGGAGCCCAACTTTGATTTCCCGTCTGTTTTACCTGTTCCTCCCGACCCTCTACCTGTTTCCCTGACTTCCCACTTGTTTCTGATACGGCTCCCGCGGCAGCCTTGCCCCCGGTGTACTCACGTCCCTTCCCCTATCGTCGCCCCTGTCTGCCCTCCCATTGCCAACCGTTCTACCCACCCATTTCAAAGTCCTCCTTACTTGGACAACCCCCTTCTTTTTACATTGGCTCCATCGTCCCTAAATGCCCCTAAATTTTCAAACCCTCTACTCTGGCAGAAGCTATTCTCCTAGCCCCCCATTTTCTTTTTCAATCATTCCCGCCCTCGAACTCCCATTCCTGACCTGGTGAGAATGGCATTTAAAGTTTTTAATGCCCAGGAGGAAATGGCCGAACTTAAAAGACAAGCCTGGGTCCAGCAGAAGGTCCAACTCTAAACCCAAGACTTGGTAGCAGCCCTGCAGCCGGCTGGCTCTGGGGCATAACCCAGCGCCCCCCCCCGGGGGGCCTGCTTCAAGTGTGGCACTGATGGGCACTGGGCCCGCCAATGTCCAGATCCAAAGGAACCAACGTGCCCTTGTCCTCAATGCCAGAGGATGGGCCACAGGAGGTCTGACTGCCTCCCCGGTGCTGCCACGCAGAGGAATCTCTGAGCCGGTAAGTCCCGCCTTCCAGCTCCTTGGCCTGGATGACAACTGACGAGGCCCAAACTCAGAAACCCCCTTCAACCATGCCGAGCCCAGGGTCATGCTCCAGGTATCAGGTAAGTCCATTTCCTTCCTGTTGGACACGGGAGCTACCCACTCTGTTCTGCCTTCCTACTTGGGCACCAGTTTCCCCTCCCCAGTGGCGATCATGGGAATTAATGGCACCTCTTCTAATCCACGGACCACTCTGCCACCTTCCTGTACCCTTGATGGATTTCCCTTCTCTCATTCTTTCCTAATAATTCCCTGCTGCCCCGTCCCCCTTCATCCAGACTCTTATTTCCTTTTTGACTTCACTTGGGAGGACCCTGACACACATGCTTCGCAACCACTTACCTGAACTGTTTTGCCACAAGGCTTTTGAGATAGTCCCCATCTTTTCGGCTAGGCTTTAGCCAAAAATCTTAGTCTCTGCACT